GCCGCCACCGCCGCCCCCGGGCCGGGCGGCCGCCCTGGGCTCCGCCGTGAACGCGCAGCTCCGGGCCCTGCCCGCCAGCCCGGTGCCCCTCAAACTGTGCCCTGCGGCCGAACCAGGCAGTCCCGCCGGGGCGCCCTACGCCACGCGATGGGCTTTCCAAGTGCTCAGCCCCTCCGCGGACGGCGCGAGGTTGCCCGGCCGGGCTCCGGGAGACCGAGACTGTACCTTCCAGCCTTCAGCCCCAGGTGAGCCAGCGGACCCCTCCCCAGCCGCGCCCGCGTCCCCAGGCCGGTTCCGGGACCTGGGGGTCCGGGACCTGGGGGCGCAGCGCGGCGATGCGCACGGCTCCGAGGGAGCGCCGGCCTGGGACCTTCCCGGAGCGTCTGGAGCTTCAGAGGAGATGCCATTTCGGGAGTAAGGGCGGGGGACGCCACTTTCTGTAATTCTTTTTTAGCCCGGAGCCATCCCACCAGTTTCTTTCCGGTCTCCTTTCAGCACGTGCTAGGGCGACCGTGACTTTGGGGTCTTAACGGGGAAATCCTGAAGCCACTCCTGGACCGGCAGGGCTATGCGGAGGTCCCTGGGCTGGCTGGACCAGGTTCTCGGGGTTTCGAAGCCGCCGGCTCTAGTCCCCGGGGCCGCCCGAGGCCGCGCGACACCGGCTCTCGGGAAAGTTCTCGGCAAAAGAGAGCTTCGCGCTGCCCGTGTTGGTCCTTTTGCCACTCAAACTGCTAGGACTGTCGGGGTCGGGAAGGCGCGAAGGAAGGAAAGTTGCTCACAATTCTGGCTTTCTCCACTCAGGGTTTTGAATCACTCAAGGCGCAAGGAAGTCAGGGCCGACTTTTGCTTGTACTGAGCTGGAAAACAGCTGGGTTGGCAACTGGGATAGGAAGTTCACCAGTAAATAAGAATTTACTAAAAGTAGGGTAGTTTGGTTTAATTACGTGTAAAAACCTAACTAGTGGGTCTGAGAAGAATGCCGACAATTTAATAAAATATTAGCTAAAGCTGCTGAAATGGGAGATGATGAAAGGGAAAAGCCTCTTAGAGACTCAGAAACTGAGAGCCAATTGGATTAAATTTTTTTTTTTTTTTTTTTTTTTTTTTTGGCTGCGTCCTTAGATGATCTTAATTCATTCTTCTAATCCCGATGGGTTTGTCCGGAATGACTAATAGACGCTTTTTCAGCAGTTTCCATTGTCCCGGCAAACTGCCGGATCAAATTTATTGCTAATGGCTTTATACAATTTAACATGTTTAGAACCTGTCCTGGTCTTTCAGTTTGAAACGATTGCTAACAGAATGGAACAAATATAATTATATGAACACCGTTCCCATTAACCTAGTGTAAAACCTAAATGCTAGGGAGCTTTTTGTACTCTGGGAAAGAAGCAAATACAGTTAAGGCAAAGTTTACGTGCCTTGGAAATTTGGGCCGCTCTGTTCTTTTTTGAAGGATTAGGAAAATCATATATATATATAGAGAGAGAGAGAGAGAAAGAGCAGGTTTATGTAGACAAGAGTTAGTAAATAATTAAAAGTAACATTTTGAAGAAAATCTGGTGACATGGCATTGTTTTCATAGAAATTTTTTGAAGATTCTTAAATTATTCCTAATAATAAATGGCTATTCAACCTTGAAAAGTTACTTGAGTTTAACCTCTGTGGATTTTGCAGATTAACTTTAAGTGCATTGCAAAAGAAGATATTTCAATACCCCTTAAAAATAATTTCACATACCTATCCATTTCATTCAAAATATTGCCAAGTTATGTGGTAGTTTCCTAAGTATATCCTTTTTTGTTTTTGACAACATATTCATTCTTATACAGTTGTTAAAAATTTATTTTTGGAATAATGAAGAGGATTGTAAGAGTTTACATTTCCCTTTGAAGTATTCTAATACAGTGTTTTTCTAAATATTTTATTCACTCCTCATTGAAGATTTGATGTTCTCCTATGTTAATTTTCATTTGAATGAACAACTTTTGCCTCAAAAAAGCCATTATTGTCAAGAACACATTTAATTATTGAAACTAGAAAAATATCTGAAGAAAATTGAAATACTATAATTTGTCCCCACAAATATGCTGTAAAACCAGCGTTCAATTGACTTATTTTTATAATTGGACAGCGAATGTAGCTTTATGAACATTTTCCCAGTTTTATTAAATGACAGAGTCTTGCCTTACCAAAATGTTATGGAAGTTCTCCTCTACAGTGTAGAATTACAAAGTTATAATGAATGCTAGCAATTTTATCTATCAGATGGAAATTAGGTGAGCATGAAATAGTGATTGAAAGTAGCATAAAAGAGAGAAAAGTTGTCATTTTCAGGAGAATGACAATATTATAACCCTTTCTGAAATGTCAGTGAACAACCAGTTTCTGATCCTTAAGACACTAAATTGGGGGTGGATTGCAAAATATGATTTTGGCAATTATATCAACTACCTACTTTCCCCTCAATCTTAATTTGTTGAGTGTATTGTGTTTAATTGTTGACTAACCCCGGAGTTATTTTTAAGCAAAACACACCATTTAACTAAGGGATTCATGCCTCTGCATGTATTTTTGCTTCACTATTTTTGTTACCTACTATTAATTGTACCACATATTTCATTCAGCAAATGCTTACTTAGTGTCTCTCTTGTGTCAGGCCCCTTTCTAGGCCATTGGCATGATCAGTGAACAAAAAACAGCTAAGGGCTCTGCTCTTGCAGAGCTTACGTTCCGTGGTCTGTACTGCCATAGAGGTTGCCAAGCATTTCCACAATTGTTAGCTTTTTTAATTCTCATAATGGGCCGGCAAGGTAGCTATTGGAATTGTTTTTCGATTAATAGGATGATTATTTCACATGCTCCTTTTGTTTTTGTTAACAAGCGTCATTCTCTGACTTGTCACAGAGAAAAAAATGCCCCGAATGTTCAGGCTCCTATCTTTAGATTAGCCTTTCCCTGCCTATAAGAAACTGATAGAGAGATAGTGACATGACTAATTACATAGTGTTGGTATCATAATAATACATCAGCTGTGATTTTTGTAACTCATCCCCTAAGAAAGAAATTGACCTTTCTTCCTTTTATCTTGTCATAGGACATGTCTGAAAGGTGGTAACAGATAATTGGTTATGTGGATTTACAGGTTGTGGATTAAAGTTCAGGGGTCCTCAAACTTTTTAAACAGGAGGCCGATTCACTGTCCCTCAGACTGTTGGAGGGCCGGACTGTGGGCCCTGGGACAAGTCGGCTGCTAAGCAGGACAGGTAGCGGCGGCAAAAACACCCAGCAGGCCAGATAAATGTCCTAGGCAGGCTACATGTGGCCTGCGGGCCATACTTTGAGGATGCCTGGTTTCCTGCAAATTGGCAAGTTTGAGTATTTACAGCAAGAAAAGGCACCCTTCATAGCTATATGTTGGCAGGGGATATATATAGTTTTAAAACTTTACTTTAAAAATCAAAGGGCATTCCTCAAGGCTTGACAAGGGCATATTTAGCGAAATATTGGGTAGTAAGTAGGTTCTGTGTTAGGGTTTATAAACATTTACCTGAAAAAAATGTTGTGGCTCTGTTATAGTTTATTAATAGAAACCAGGAGGTTTTGTGAGTAAATTCTAATTATTGGAGATACTTCCTCAGAAGTTCACTAATGTCACTATTTCATTATGAAAATATATATTGTGCTAGACCAAAATAGCCATGTCTTTGTATATAAAAGTGGGTCTTGAAATGCAAAAAGCTGAAAAATTTAAATTTCTCTTGGTTATAGAATGACATCAGTTTTTGAGGTGATGGTTATGCTATCAATTCTCTTCAAAATAAGTGGAACAAGTCTATTAACATTTTAGAAAATATTTGACTTAAAAGCGTTATATTTGACTTAAAAAGCATTTGCTACTTTAAACATTTTAGAAAATATTTGACTTAAATTAAATTTCTTAATATCATTTTCTTCATTATTTATTAAATCTACCCCTTCTGCTGCATAAAGAAGAATTGAGAAGCATCCTAGCACTCTGGGAGGCCAAGGTGAGAGGATCACTAGAACCCTGGAGTTTGAGACCAGCTGGTGCAGGAGGGAGACCCTGTCTCTACTAAAAATAGAAAAGCAAGCACCTGTAGTCCCAGCTACTTGGAAAGCTGAGGCAGGAGGATTGCTTGAACCCCAGGTTTGAGGTTGCAGTGAACTGTGACGACATCACAGCCCTCTAGCCCAGGTGACAGAGGGAGATTCAGTCTCAAAAAAAAAAAAAAAAAAATTAGAAAGCAAATGTTTATTCTGGATGGGTGAGTTGAATTGTTCTTTTTCATTTTTTAAGTAGGTTTGCCAAGTAAGTAGTAGTACAGAAATGAAAGATACATAATTTTTCCCCCCGACACCTAGTTAGCATTGTTTTGACCATTAATACTTAACATGAACTCTAGTTTTATTGTCTCCTACCCAGTCCCAGGTATTGTTTACTCATTAATTGTTGACTCTATCTGAAACTATTTGCATTTATGTTTTGTACTGCAAATGGTAGCTTTTTCCTCCTTCATCGAGATACAATGAAAATGTGAAATAAAAATGACTCTCAAATTTCAGGCACTTGGGAGAGGGAGGAAAATGGATTTGTGCTAAAAGTGGGGACTCCGGTCTAAGTGAAAACTTTGTGATCTTATTTGTTAAGCCAGAGTTTGACATTTTTGTCCCTAACACTATGCTCTATATTTATTTTGGCAAATTAAAATGACAGAATTTTGAGGATTGTTTTTGTTTCTTCAGAACCAGGATAACAATGGGGGATTCAGAACAGGACAGTGATGAGACCTATTCTAATGGTTCTTTGGTTAGACTATCACCCCAGTCATCCTTTTGTGGAATTTGTAATACCAGAACTATATTTTCTGTGACTTGCTTAATATGTCTTTGTATTTACATTGACTTTTACATGGTACATGAGTAATCAGCTTTGAACAGATTGTTATATGGTTCCAAAGTTAATGAACATTTTCAGGTTCAAGAAGTTCTTGCAGTGAATAGAATCAATGGAATTAATAGACCAGGTGTCCTCAAACTATAGCCCGTGGGCCACATGCAGCCTGCCTAGGGCCCACCAGGTGTTTTTTTTGCCACCACTGTCTGTCCTGCTTAGCAGCCGACTCATCCCTGGGGCCCGCAGTCCAACCCTCCAATGGTCTGAGGGGCATTGAATTGGCCCTTCTATTTAAAAAGTTTCCTCAAACTTTTTTTTTTGTTTGTA